AGGGACTGCCTGTCAAGAGGAAGGGCAGCCTATATCTTATATGCTACCTGCCATCTACTTTAATTTCACCTCTACTGCAAAAGCAGAGCTTAAAAATAAAGTTTAGAAACCCTATAGCAATAGAAAAAAAAGACAATTTTCACACATCCACGGTTAAAATGATAAAACTAATTTATTTGTAAATCTTTGTTTTATTGAAGCGTTTTATGTTCATTACAGAAGGGAAGAAACGGATGAATGATATATCAGCGAATTTTCATACATTTGCAAGAGCTTATATCATAGATACACATTCACATTTATGTCTGCTTCATTTTATATGTTATGATATGTCGCTTTGTCTGATTAGCTCGCCTTATGTGGTTATGGTAATGCACTAACAGTGTAGGTTCGCTCGGATGCAATGCTTGACTGGGCACTTTAACGAGAAAACAACGTAAGACAATGGACGGTCTTAAACGTGCGTTGAGCCGGCAATTTATAGGACAGGCTAAGATTCAATGAGCGCTCACGTGTTGATTAAGGGGAGCGGACTAATGGAGATCGCAAGAACAACTGGGCATATCTCCGCGAGCCGAGTAGATGTGTCACTTCATGTTAAGCACAAGCTAGTTCTAGTAGCTAATGTGCTAGATACGTGTATGGTCTGACCCCCTTGCTAGGTTCCCCACATCAGATGAAAACACAGCAAAATATAAATTTTTAAGGTTATCACCAGCAATGCCTGCCCATCGTTTCAATGTTTTAGCTAACATTCAGGTTACTTCGGATAGAGCACTACACCGCACTCTGAATTCTGAATTCTGAATTCGCACAAGTGCTCATCAAGCAAAGTCAGGCAAGCTAGAGTACACGATAGTCATAGTATGCATGGTGACATAAGTAACCTGGCATCAAGCCTCCTCAGTTCGTCATAGGTGCTGCATAAATCACCAGTCTGTCTTATTGTGGCAGGATGAAGGCAGGTGTTGTTTAGCCATATGGTCTAACTCGTAGGTGTGCTGTTGCATTCCGATGCTGTAGGTTAGTCCATGTGGGTTCACAGGGTCCCCGCATCCCCCGGGTCTTCCGTTGGACACTACTGGCGTGGGCCTCCATGGTGTTTCCGCTGTCGTGGTGTCTCTGCATCCAGGAGCCACTTGCCTGAGGCCTTAATATGCGTTCGTGCCCTGTCGCCATTGATCCCATCAGCAGGATTGTGGGCCTAGGGTTCCACCGGATCCCGAACTTCTCCCTGGGGGTACGGCAGGCTGTGGAGGGGTTACTGCTTATGAGCGCTCAGCGCAGATGAAGGGTGAGTGGCCATCTTTTCAGCATGAACCACGTGGGTGGTGAGTTACATGCGCCACGCGCCCGGTATGTCTCCGAACTTGGGGATGGCTTCCCGGTGTGGGTCCGTTGATGCTTGTTGCCCTGTGCGCTGGGCCAGGTGAGAGCTGTGATCAGTTTTTGGCTCTGTGTTTCAGTACCTGCGTGCATGGCCTCCGCCATCTTTAACATGGGCTCTGGATCTGCATGATGCCGTGTCACTGCCTCCGAGTGTGGCTGTGAGGCTTGGACCAGGATCACCCCCACGGTCCATAGGGGGGGGAATCGGGGCCAGGTCCGCCGATGGTCCACGTGTTTGTCGGGCTCCGTCAGGCAGGATAGTGGAGCGGCGGCCGTCCACTCCACTCACCGCCAGGTGAGGTCCCGCCTGGCGTAGCAGGGATCTCCCCTCCGAGGGACTAGAACTGTGGGAGCAAGCCTCTCATCAGCTCAGGCAGCCCGTTCACTTCGTGGGTCACAGCTACAGGCAAGTAATTTCCCTCATAATCACGTTTTGTAAACTTTGTAGGTTTCATTTTGCAGGAGCTGAGCTCTCCTGTGACCGCTCAGCTCGGCGGCCCGGCCTGGCCCCGCCCCTAAAAATGATACATTTTATTACGGTGTAGAAAGGATCACATACCTTCATTTCTATCAAGATAAAAAGAACTTTAAATAATCACAGCACATGATTTAAATCAGAAATATGAGTGTTTAGTACCAGCTCACATGTACCATTACAGAACCCGGGATATATTTGGTTATTTGGGCAAAATGCTCTTCCCCACATAGAAAACATATTTCCCCTGTCAAAGATGTTGCTATAAAATGCCGGGTGTTTTGTATTGTATTTTTTTGTAAGTCTTTTTTTTTCTTTTTATGGGCAGACCTTGAGGAACAATGGAAATAAATGAAAACATTGGATTAAATATACAAAAAATAGAACAAAAAAGCACAATATAAAATTAAATCGTCTGTCTGACACCAAATATTAAAAGTCCAAAGATAAAATTTTTTAGCTGCCAGACATAAAAGGTTATTCCGCAAACCTATGTGATAGAATGTCCAAAAGTAGATAAATGTCAGCGCTGTGCTATAGCCCCAAATTAGTGTTTGTGGGGAAGCTGGGTATTGAGATAAATGTGTAGGATTTTCACCTCCACAGCGGTGGTTTAGGAAATTAGTAGTATTCTGTGTAAACTTTGTATCCAACAGCAGTGATCACAGTAACGTATCTTCAAAGATACAAACCAAGCAAAGAAAGTGCAACACAGTTTATTAATATCATGTAAAAATTAAACTCCAAATCCTTTAAGAAACTCATATACAGTAAAAAAGATGGTGTTTAAATCCTACTTTCCATTTTTCAAGCCCGCTGCGTACGGGCGGAACGCGTGGATGAGTTAGAAGCCTTTCATCTTAACTTTCCAAGCAGACACCTTTGGCAGTTAAGTGCTTTGTCATCCCTCCATTTGAACTTGCAGCATTTCGGCTAGATCCTTGGACATTTTCTGGATTTCTACTGCACCAACGGAGTGGTAATACTTTCAGCACACTGCTTATCTGCTACATATTCTGGACTCTGTTTGGATTCTTTGATGGAAAGTAGGATTTAAACACCTGTGTCTTAGTAGGGATTTTAATTGTAAATATTGTAAGTAAGTCATCTAGGGCAAGCCATCTCCACTCCATGCCTGGTATAGAAACCGTAATCCCCCGTCTTCCCACCCTCTATTGTCAAATGTAGGGACAAAGTATTTAAAGCATCGGAGTGGTGTGGCTAATTAGACTGGGTTCCAGGAGGAAAAATTGGCTTTGTGGTCATCCCATGCCGTTAGCAAAGTAAAAGTAATGGGTAGTGTGTCGTGCATCTTTGGATGCAAGACCCTGTGTATCCACATTAGGTACTGGAGCCCATCAGCCAAAGACCAATAGGACTCAATCTCCACCCACTGAGGTCTGGACGTGGAGTTGTGTGAACTTATGGTGTGATTGAGGAGTGTGGCCACTTGCCCGTCCCCCAACTTCCTAGTGGCAGTGGATATTGGGATGCAAGCATTACATCGGCCAGTGAGAAACCTGTCAATATGTCTTTGTAATTGGGTAAAGTAGGACTTTGAGACGTCCACAGGCAGGGAACTGAACAGGAACTGCAGAATGGAGAGTAGCATCATTCTGAAGGCCGCTATACGGCCTAACCAGGATAGAAATTTGTCTTTCCATTTATCCATATTGGATCGGATTTCAGAGGCTACTTTAATGTAGTTTGCTTTGACCATATCATCCAGATTTTTAGTAAATTTTTTACCCAAATAAATAATGTGATCATCCCTTCAGTTGAAGTCATGGCAAATTTGGAGTTGGTGTATGGTGTTGTGGTCGAGGTTGATAGGCATGGCTTGGATTTTAGTCTTATTTAGTTTATAGTAGGAGAATTTGCTATATTCCCCCAGTGTCCTCGTGAGTGTTGGAAGACAGGTTTTAGGGTTTGTGATGGTTAGGAGTACATCGTCCATGAAGAGGCTTAGTTTGTGCTCTATCTGCCCTATGGGAACCCCTCAAATCTCAGAGTTCACTGGCCAATGGCTCAAGTGCTAACACATTTAGAATGGGGGAGAGCGGGCAGCCCTGAGGTGTACCGTTTGTGATGTTAAATGGCTCAGAAATGAATCCCCCATAGAGTATTTTGACCGAGGGTGCGTTGTAGAGCGTTTTAACCGCAGATAGGAATGTGTCTGGAAATTCGTATTTCCTTAACACCTCCTCTAGGAAATTCCAGCCTAAGCGATCAAACGCCTTTTCGGTGCCGAGGGACAACATGATCCCTTTGATCCCTTGTTTTTGCATGGAATACATGATGTCCAGCCCCCTCCTCGTATTGTCGGTCTCCTGCCTACCCTTCACAAAGCCAGATTGGTCCTGATTCGGTCCTGATTTTGGAGTCCGAAATTTTTACAGTGTGTGGGGCTTTGCCAGGTTTAGGGAGGGTGATCACCGTGGCGGCAATCATGTCCTGGGGCAATTTAGAGTGGATAATCGAATTATTAAACAGACGGAGCAAGTGAGGGGCCAAGTGTTTACAGTATTTTTTTATAATAGATGTTGGACAAGTCATCTGGCCCTGGTGTTTTATTGGCGGGGAGTTGTCGTATTGCTCCCTCAATTTTTCCTGGGATATTGGTTTAGACAATAAGTACTTTTGAATGGATGTGAGTGTGGCTGTGTGTATCTGTTCTAAGAATGCTGTGGCTTCACCCACAGTAGCGTGATGCTGTTCCGTGTCCCTTTGTATGTTATTTAGCATCTCGTAAAAGGTAGCAAATTCGTTACTAATGGCTTCTGGTGAAATTAGTTTTGCGTTTGCATCTGACATGAGGTCTGGGATTCTGGATCTAGTCTGTAGGTCTTTCAGCACGGCTGCTAATTTTTTTTCTGCTCTGTTACCCTGGGTGTAGTGAGAGTTTTAGTTTTTTCATTAGGAAACTGGTGTGATGCATGTGCACCTCTTGGATTTTCTTTTGGGTTTGTAGTATCTGATTTCTAATGCCTTTGGTAGAGTGTTTTTGGTTTTGTGAGTTTATGTCACAGAGCTTCTCGCTCCATTCTTTAAGTTTAGATTGGGATGTTCTCTTAATGTGTGCGGCACGTATGATAATTAGACCTCTCGCAACCGCCTTATGGGCTTCCCACAGTATCTATGTGTCTGTTGTGTCGTTCACGGCAAAGTAGTTGTCTACCTCTGTCGCCATAATCAGGGAAAATTGTGGGTCTTGGAGGAGCAATTCATTCAGACACCATGGGGGTTTGTTTTTGAAAGCAAATTTGTCTGCTAGTGTAAGGATGACAGGGGTGTGGTCAGACCACTCGATTGTGCCTATGTTGCAGTCAGTAACCTGTGTGAGGTGTAATCCATTTAGGTAGAATCTGTCTATCCCACTATAGCAGTCTGTACAGAAGAGTAGTATGTGTAAGAGGGGTTACCCGCTCTCCAGACGTCGTATAGGTTGTAAGAGTCGAAGAGGGAGTTTAGTTGTTTAGCTAATTTCTGTAATGTTTTGAGTCTCACTGGGGTTTTATCAGAGGTGGAATCTAGTGTGGGGTCATGAACACAATTGAAGTCGCCCTTCAGGACAAGCACGCCCTGCTGGACTCCCTCTATTCTGGACAGGACCTTAGTTAGGAAGTCTCTTTGGTTGTTGTTGGGGGCGTAGACGTTGGCTATGGTATATGTGGCTTCATTGATTAGGGCTACTAGGGTTAAAAATCGTCCCTGCGGGTCTGCCATTCTCTTAATAAGGGAGAATGAGAGTTGGTTACTAATTAGTGTAGACACGCCTTTTGACTTGGTGTCTGAAGTTGCATGAAACTGATAGGGCAATTGCTTGATACCAAACCAATCAGATCTACGAAAGTGGGTCCTTGGAGCATTTTAAGTTCCCTGTATAGGGCATGACGTTTTAAAGGGGAGTTCAGCCCCTTGACATTATGTGACACTATACCCGTACAGTTGTACTAGGTCGGTGCTTGTGTATCTTTTAAACCAATGTATGCGTTCGCCCCTCACTCCGCTCGCCCCTGCATTGATAAATAGGAGAATATAAAGAAAGAAGAAATAGAAAGATTGTTATAGAGAAGGCAGTAGCCGTAAAGAACTGCGTCTGTAGGTAGCGTCCTTGGAGCCATTTTCACTCTCCAGCAAGTGAGTTTTGGATTCAACTGTACTCGGTGTGACACCCATTTCCCTGTCGGGGTCGAGGTGTACTGTTGTGGCGGGATAGTATGGCCTGCCACACCCTGCACAGGCGGATCTGTACATTTAATCTGTCCCAACTCACATTTATTCACTTTGATTCACATAACGTCACAAATTAAAACAAAACAGAAGAAAATACAGTATAGCTTAGAATGCTGTCACCTTTGTGGCATACTCTTCTTTATCTTCGCTCCCTGGGGTATAAGTCTCTCTGCAGGGCTCCCCCCAGTCATTGCTGTATGTAACAGACATAAAGGGGTTAAACCGCCGTTTAGAAGATCTTCCCCTTCCAGAGACACAGGCACAGCTACCGCAGAACCTAACACCCCCTTACAGGATACAAAGTAGCATTCCAAACTCCCGAACTGGAACCTCATGAATAGCTGCTAGCAGCTGAACAGGAAAAGCACCCAAGTGGCTTACACTCCTGGCAATCAGTCTCTTACAGCATACAGTAAATCCCCCCAAGAATGAGACAAGGCTCCGTGTTGAGGGTCAAGCAGGAACAGACAGAGCTGTGGGTTTATTGTTCTTATATACACATTCTTACACATTAGTACCACCCACAGGGTTTTGTAAAACAACCAATAAACATGTACAATACACTCAGACACTCCCACACAAAATCCTCCCCTCTGCCTGTGATACAATTACCTTACACAATGAGTTAATGTAATAATCACAGGCAGAGAAATACAGTTTTTCCACATTATTCATAACTTTAAAAGTATACATCACATTCACAATTTCAGAATCAGCATACTCCAAATACAAACATATGTCAAAATCATCCAAATTGGTCCAGTGGTTCAAAAGATAGATCGAAGTCATTTGTGACCAAATGAAGCATGGCTTTTCTGCCCAAAACCAGTTCCACAGAGTCTTCTATCCTGGAGATAATTGGGAAGTAATCCAATTATCTCCAAGGACAGAGGCAAAACTCCATTGAACACATGGTAGCAAAAGAAAATAAAATACATAAAAATATATAACTGTGCAGCTATTGCATAAAACAGGTACATTCAACATATCCCCAGATAGCTTAGATCTGAGCGCACATTATTACTGAATGGCGCTCAGATCACATACATACAGTTCAATTGCCATGGAGCCAAAGTCTTTCACATAGTCTTTCGTTATACGAATGGGCTCCATGGCATAGTTATCTGGGGTATCACTGTTCAAATAGGGCAAGTACCGAATGACCCGGCTTTCGTGTCTTTGCAGGGGAAAATCAAGCGTTTCAACATGAGGCCATAGTCTAAAGGCAGCGGGCCGGCAACCAGGCTCCTCCAATGCACAGTCGCGAGATTGGTTTCATCCTCTGAAGGTGTCTATGGTGGTTATGGTGTCGGCTGGAGTGCTTGGAGGCCTCAGGAAGCGCTAGGAGCATCCTTCAACGGAGGTACCCAGTCGGGGTGCTAGGTGATCCGTTACAATGTATTTTACACTAGAGGCATCACAGCTGGCTCTAGGAGGGACCTCGTGGCCTCTTTATTTTGTCTTTTAGGCAATTTTACAGAGGTGATTGGGGGGGGGACGTAAAGGGAAGGAGATCTAGGGATGTGGTGCTGAGAGTTGCACATCAGGGCGATTATGCCTTCCATCCCTGGGAGGGGGTGGTACCCATATCACTCTGTGGGAGTATCTGAGCTAATGCCTGCTAGGCGTTAGGGGGACAGGATTGAAAGTGTCGGGAGGTTAGGCCTGAGGGCGTACAAACTACAGCCCCCTTGTGGTCTCAGACCATACCTTTACCTTGGCAAAAATGCTTATAAAAAGAGATGTGAGGACCTGCGGTCAGTTAACACCTAACAACATGTGCCTCTGTGGCCCTGTTGGTGTTTGGACCCCCTCCCAGTGGGAGCACCATAAGAACGGAAAGTTACACCTGCCAGATATGCCAGGTCCAATGTCACAAGGATCCATGAGTTTGTGCACTTGTGAGCTTGACCCCAGCTATAGCGTATTGACTGGTTGAGAGCGGGTGAGCTACGGGTAGTCCCTACGCGTGTCAGCTTTGGCATTATAGACTCTGAGGGTTTACTTCCCCATGTGAGCTTTACCTCTGTGTGTATGTTGCAGTATGTAGAGAAGTTCTTGTACAGTATCTCAGCAGTGGGACTCCTCCACATTGCTTTGATCTCAGTAAAGCCCGTATAGGCCGTAAGTTGTCTTTGTCCGAGGGCTGTGATGCGAAGCAAATCCTGCAGTGGATCAGAGTGTTTGTAGTAGCTGTATATAACTATTTACAAGTGACTTCCATGTGTAAGTCTAGAGTCTCATTCTCTTTCATTCTTGTGAGAGCGGGTTGAGTTCGGAAGATACCGTAGGCGCCATTGCCAGTTGAATATCCCATTTCTTCAGGAGCTGTAGGCCTTCCTCCGAAGTTAGTATCGGGGTTGTCTGCCCGTTGCAGGTTATTAAGAACCGGATGGGGAATCCCCACCTTTAGGGAATTTGATGCTTCTGCAGCGTTGTTGTCACAGAGATGAAACACCTTTTCGCTGTCGGCCGGAGTGTGGCCGGAAAGATATCTGCAAAAATGTGTATGTCTTGGTACACTGCCGCTAGAGATTTTGTTCCCCTGCTTGCTCTAAGTATCTCCTCTTTTATGTGGTAATAATGGGCTCAGAGCAAGACGTCTCTGGGTGCTGAGGCTGGTGCTGCGCGTGTTTTGGCCCCTTTGTGGATACGGTCTAGGAGGAGCATTTCAACCGTTACATCTGGGCAGAGCGCTTGGAAGAGGCCTGTAGCAGATGAATGTAGATCCCTGGTCAGCATTCGGCTCTGCCCCACAAGTTTGCTTTTTAAGTTAATAAATTGTACTTCGCACCATATAAAGTCCTCTGGATATCCAGGAGTCTTCATTTGGGCTTTGCCATACCCCCAAAAATCGGCACTCTTACTGGAACCCTCTGAGCCAGGTTCCTAAGGCTCTGTAAAAAGTGAGCTCAATACCTATTATCTCCCAAAGAAGGTTGCTTTACATTCTGTACATTGGTCTTCTTTTCTGTTACTCTCTCCAATTCTGAGTGTTACTACAGACTGAAGGAGAGTTGTGGTGCTGCCCAAAAAGCACAAAGATGTTTTTTACAGAGCTAAGATAGTTAGGCTCCGATACATGTGAGTGGGTACATTTTTATATTCCCACACTTGGAAATACCATCTGCAATATATATGATCTTTCTTTATTTTTATGTAACCTGGTATGTCTATTTTTTATCTAGTATTAAATGGTAACTGTAACGGATCACCTGGCACCCCGACTGGGTACCTCCGTTAAAGGATGCTCCTAGCGTTTCCTGAGGACTCCAAGCACTCTGGCAGACACCACAATCACCGAACTGGAGAAGCATATGAGTACTTTTAAGCATATGAATGTTGTATACAGCTGAATAGGAAAAACCATGCGAATAGGTTTGCACTCCTAGCAGTCAAACTGGAACAGCATACAATAAATCCTCCCCCAATAATGAGATGACACTTCACTTTGAGGGTTAAGCAGAAACTGTAGGTTTATTCACACAACCTCCTTTTAAGACATTCTCCCATGCAAGGGAGGGATCCAAAACAATTAGTACCCCAGCCAATAATGTACCAGTTACCTCCCACACATCTCCTCCCCTTAGTGTGACACATAATCCCATTAGTACAGACACAAATTCCCTGGGTTACTGGATGTACCCCTAAACATAGGGTTACCCCTTTAAATGTTACATTCCCTGGTAGCCCTGATCTGGGTGAGACACATATCCAAAAATCACCCAGATCGGACCAGGGGTTCGGGAATTATGGAGGGTTAAAGTTTTGACCGACTGCATGGCAAAAGTATCCGAAAATAGTTCCATGTATTTTAGCCCTGCAGTCGGTCACAGAAAAGGGAATGGAAACACACGAATTGCCTGGGTTATAGAGCCTGGAGAGGGTTTAAACGAATTCCCTTGTTCGTGGGGTTCTTTCTACCGAACGGCGGGCCATTCGGTAGTTTCCACACAAATTCATGGAAGTCTGGAAGTCCGATTTTAGTTCCAGACACTCGACTGCAAAACACCGCTGTTCGGGAGTTTAAGATGGCCGCCGCCACGTGCTCGTTTCCCGAATGGCGGCCACCCAGAGGACAAAACCACACATTACATCGATTGCCAATTACCCATTTGCAACATTGTTGCAAACGGTAATTGGAGGCACACTTACTCCCGGGTGGTCTGGTTGTTCGGTAGTTTCACTCAATATAATGAATGGAGTGATTCTACCGAACAATCAGGGGAATGCTGCATACACATATACAATTTAGCCGAACACACAGAAACATACATAATATAAAAGACATCCTTACTGTAATCTGATAACCAAGTCTTAAAGGGGTATTGTTGCTAAAAGTCATAATATGTCCCCGGATGGCCCTTAAAGGGCCAGTAGCAGCAATATACAATATCACATGCCCAAATATTGCATTCAAAAGTACAAATTTACCAGGGGCCATAGTCAGCAGGTAGGAGGCGGGCAGCCAGGCCTCTCCAATGTCCAGT